CGTTTTTCTTGCTTGCTTGCTTTGTGAGCAATGGCTAGGATGACTATTTTGGTTTTTTATCATTTCAAAGAAACACTGCTTCCTCATTTAATTGTTATTTCTGTGCACTAGAGAAATACCTTTTTTTACTCTTTCTGGTATTTTCACAAGTGAAGTCTGTAAGCCTAGTAATTTCTCTAGTCTGATGCCTTCACCTAAGTAATGTTAAAACAAGCCTGTTAGTACACTAGTGTTTTGTGACTGAAATTGCCTTTGTTACTGCACAAGTATGGTGCCCTGAGGCACTGAGCCTTCTCTAACATACCTTCAGGTATTTATTCACCATTCCAGTATTGACTCTTCCTTTCCCCCAAATTATACAGAACAGAATTATGCAGTGAAGTGTTTTTGGCACTGTTCATTAAATGAAGTGAGCACATCATGGGAGAAATTAGAAGTATGTATAGCAAGAATTAGAAATTAATATGTAGCAGGGTAGTTGCACAAAATTGTTTTAATTATCAAAGCCAGTAGACTGAATTTGATTTGGAGTATAACAGTGTGACAATGCCTGTAACTTTTTTAATGCAAATATGACTTCCATTTTGGGGAGCAGAGAGATGACGGAAAGGGTGGGCGTAGGATCAAATCATAATGACTTACTGATTTTTCTTAAGTAAATAAATCAATCTCACTAATGCTTAAAAAAAACAACCAACATTTCCAAGAGTAGTTGTTGCCACTGTCATCTTTCACTGAACCTACAGAGAGCATGGCTGCTGGGGTATTTTGCTGTCTGCTCAAAAAAGTTAAAGATGGCTGAAAGACCAGAAGGAATTAATTCTGGTCTTCATATCTAAGACCAGAATGTACAGTGTTGGTGTACAGATTTATGTGAACAGTGGGAAGAACTCCACCATATCTTCCGCAGTTCTAATCATACAAACCTGAAGTGTGTATGTGGCCTTGTTTTAGAGAAATCCATAAAGTGGGCCCCAGGCTCAATTTAGCATTTGATTGTGATGTTTTTTGCACAACATGACATTTGTCAACTGGGAAGCCTGTAAGATATGCCTGAAAATAGATATAAACAATTCACTGAAAGGTAATAAATTGACTTGTGCTCCCTAGTGCCTATTTGCATGCTCTTAGCAGTGGTGCTTAGCATGTAGCTTACAGTTTTTTCATTAAAGAATACACTTTGTTGCATTTACCACATAATAAGGGTATACGTGATACAGTTACTGATGAGTATCTGATGTGTAATAAATACATATTTTCTCATATTTTGCAGCAACATGCATAACTCTTTGTATTATGAAGCCTAACTCCTTTTAATAACCTTTTAATTAACATCACTGTAGGCAGAAGATCATAGAATCACAGATTGGAAATGTTATTTTTTCAGTGGCTGAAAATGGTTATTTGTGAAAAAAAGAATTGACATGCTGTAAGTGTGCAAGCACAAAGCAACCTGTTTATAGTGGCCTGTCTAAATAACTACAAGTATGTGTTGCGGTCATTGATGGACAAGAAAGAAGTGATCACAGCTGCCCCAGCATGTTTATTTTGTGGTTATATTGACCGTATACGTAAGGCTTATCTGGATTCGTGTTGGGCTTGAATTGATCCTCCCTCCTGGAGTGCTTATACACACCCAGCTGCCTCTGCAGCATTCACTCTGCAGTCAAATTTATCTGCATCTCCCAATGCATGCAGTGTTACCTACGCTATCTCCCCATTAGTTTGGGTACTGGAAATTTTTAACAAGAGATGTGTATTGTGTGTATAAATACACCTCATAGTTCTCTGGTCAACATATTATTCCTGTTTTAATGATGAAGCAGTTGAGGTGTTCTGATCAGTCTTCTCAAAGATTATAAAACAGCTTTCAACAAGTCACTGTTTTGCCCTTTCTTTAATCATCTATCTATAGGTTATGTTTATCTCTGTTACAGATGCATGATGGGCAAAGTGATTCCAGAACAACATATATTTAGATCCTATAAAAGGAGTAGGTTTTTATGTTCTGTGGTAGCTAAGGAATTTTTGAGTCATCCAATATTCTTAGCTTTGACTTTTGTGAGATCCAGAGAAGCATTTTAGTTGGCATTTTTCTCCCTAGAAGTTAGGAGAGTGTCAAAAATGGTGCGCAAGGTGAAAAGAATGAGATCTCCTGTTGGATTTGTTTATGGTGAAGGAAACTTGACTTTGCATCTCAATGTTGGAGATACGGGAAGTGACTGTCTGAACCTCAAGGCCTTGGACTTGGACTCCATTTTGGGAGGCAAGGAGTTAGTTGGGGATGGAAAGACTGGAGTTTGTATTCTTTCTGCTCTGTTACCCATTGCTATCTTCATGCATCTGACACTCTGTTTATCTGACAGTGCACTCAGTACTGCTTCGCCAGGGAAAATTGCACAAAACAGGCCCAGTGCATCAGCATTTTCATTGTGTTTTAAGCTGAGCCTCCCTTCACATGGTCACATCCCCTTTTTAATCTGGGATTCCATGTCCCTTTCCCAGTCCAGCCTGTTTCTGTGGTGTCTATTGCTGGTCTCCCTGAGCTTCTGTTTCTGTGGTTTGAGTGTTTTTTGTGTGGCTGAGTGTTAAGACCTGCAGGACTTTTGGAAGTGGCGTTGTTTGGGGGATAGGCAATACACTGATTTAGTGTTAGTAGTTTGTCACAGACTGAGGTGATGGCTGCGTTCAAGTTGGATTTCCTCCCAGAGATGATGGTGGACCATTGCTCCTTGAATGCTAGCCCTGTGTAAGTACTTTCTCTTCATGTCTAAGTTTATCACTGAAGTGATAGTTGCATTAATTGGAATTGGATGGTCTCTGAAGTCTCTGCTGTCTGATGAACTCCCCTTGAGGGGGGGAAAAGTGAGATGGGAAAGTCTGCAGTTTGTTTTCTAGAAATCTTAGGGCATTGTCAATTGATGCTGGATTCTGGAGGATGAGGGGGAAAAGATCTGATGATTTGGGGATGAGGGCTAAGGAGAAATAAAGCTATTCAGCAGTACTGTTTATAGCATGCTACAGGTGCTGATATTATAAAATTGGTTATTAAATAAATTGTTGGGAGAACAGTTTTTGTTCTTCCCTGTTACTGACTCTCAGACTAAACCTTTTAATTAGAATAGAAAGATTCCTTAAATGTATGAAGTCTGGTTAAGAGTTGCCCAGTTAACAGTGCTTTTGAAGGTACCCATGGTATAGAAAGCAGGACTGAAAATTATTATTGGAAGAGTGTATGTTATTTCCAGTTGTTCTTAATTGGAATGAAAAGACATTGAATTAAAAGAGAGAGCTTACCTCTTCCTAAAAGGTATTGTTTGCCTTGGATATTTGGAGAGATGCTGACGCTTTTTGAGTGGAAATGTAGAGAGGAGTGAAAGGATTTGTGACAATTCCTTTCCTTTTTTAGTAAGAAGCTTTATTGTACCTTACTTCTATTCCTACAATTATAAAATTATGAGCTTTCCCTAGCATCAGTTTTTTCTAAGGTCCTGAACAACGGTGTTAAGGGGAAAAATTACTAAACACTGCCTGGTTTGGAATATATATATATATATTTAACTCTGTTTAGGGCTGAGTGTGATTGCAGATGGATAGTGAGAGAAACACTGTTTACTGCAATATGCAGTTAATAAGCTATTCAAAAACTACAGACATTAAGAAATCTGAGTACTCTGGAAGAAAATCACCTGGTATTCTTCAGTAAAGAGTTTGGGGGCAGAGGGAATCATTCTTCCACTCCCCATGTCGTTTCTAGATTATGCAGGGGTTGGTCAGCAATTCTCACCTACTAATCACGATAGCTACAATAGACTGTCGTTACAGTCAGTCTTCCACAGAGATGGGTCCTGTGGTGTGCCAGGCCCTGACAACTGGCAACAAGACCTCACATTGCACTTGGCAAACAATGAGGAGTCAATACAAAAAGCAGTGTAGGACTGTCAACTAGTTGGGTGGAGTATAACACAGTGTTATTAATAGATTGTAGGGCCTTGAAGCCTCTTGAAGTTTCCTAGACTCAGAAGTTCTGTGTACTTGGAGTCTAAGAGGCGACCTTTTTTTCTATGTTAACACCCTTTTATTACTCACCTTGTCACTAACTAGATTGTCCGATCCCAATCTGTTCATGAACAACCTTTGGCTGTTGTTTGGGGTTTTTTGCCAAATACTGTTGAAAACTCCCTAGTTTCACAAAGACCTATTGCCTTGTAAACCTCTAATGACACTTCTCATCTGTTCAGTTGTACCTTTTTCTCTGTTTTAAGCTGGATCTTCACCTTGGGGGACAGTTCTGAATAGTCACAGTTGAAAACAATGAAAAAATGTTAGCCTCTCATTTTCAGTGATTACTGCTTGCATCAGGTCTGTGGGCAGACTATGAGTTTAGGTTCCTTCCTGTTCTTGCTTACTTTTCTGTAAAATTTTACATGGTTGAAATACTTATATTTTTCAGTCATATCAACAGATTTATGTCCTGAATCTCAGATGTTGACTTAATTATAGAAACAAACTGTGATGTTCCTATAACTTTGTTTTAAACAGCTGTTTTGTTTCCAAGTACATAGCTTGCCAATGAATGTGAATGATGTTTCTGAATGTCTCTGGTATGCAGGACTGGGAATGTGCAAGAGTCTCTCTTTATATGTATATTTGAATTATATATCTATATGTTTAGAAATACAATATTTTTAATTTTATTTTAAGTATGCTGCTTCTAGCTACAATAGTGTCTAGAATCTGTGGAGAGATATAAACCAGAAATTCCTTCTTGTTTTTCATAGTTCAAAGAAAATGAATGGCACACTGGATCACCCAGACCAACCTGATCTAGATGCTATCAAGATGTTTGTGGGTCAGGTCCCACGGAGCTGGTGTGAGAAGGATCTAAGAGAACTTTTTGAACAGTATGGTGCTGTCTATGAAATCAATGTCTTGAGGGACAGGAGCCAAAACCCTCCTCAAAGCAAAGGTCAGAACTTCTGTACTTCTCATGTGAGACTTAGAGTCCCTGGTGCTTTCACATAGTTACAGTCTTAGCTGTTTGCTTTTTCAGACATCCCTGTGTGTTGGAGCTCTGTGTCATCAAGTGTGCATGCAAACCCAAGCTTTATAGTCTTTTAAGTGTGTCTCATTATACTTGGACTGATCCAAGTCATTAGCTGAGCTGAGGAAATTCATAAATATTTTCTTAGAGCTCCTAAGTGATGGGGATGTTTGAAGTGTATGTATTGTAATTACAAAGCAGAACTTCAATGTAATATTTGTGATGCTATGATATGATAAAAATGTTGCTGGAAGTGTCACAGTTTCAGATAAAATATGAAATTGAGGTCCTAGTCATTTTTGTGCATCAAATACTGTGTACCTCAAATCCTAACTAAATGCTGTACCTGAATTTGCATTTCTGTTATATGCAGTATCTTATTTCCTGTGAAACTAGATAAGGTTTTGGTACTAGCAAATAGTTGTTGAGTTTGATAATGGAAGTAGCCAACAATTATTTGGCAGATGTATTTACATGTTTGTTTTAACAGTGTGTTGGTGATGTTGGGTTAGTTCTGAATATATCGTGTTTTATTACTCTGAGAAATATTTTCTAAACAGTACGTACCTGTTGAAATATCTAACTTATGATTCTCATACCTTTTGCGTTGGAAGGATAGAAGTGGGACTTAGTGGGACTTGCAATTTCCATGTAGCACTTCAAGATTTGTAGTGTTCTTTCTTGGCTATTATTGTGTTTCAATTGCAGGGTGCTGTTTTGTTACATTTTATACCCGTAAAGCTGCACTAGAAGCACAGAATGCTCTTCACAACATGAAGATCCTCCCAGGGGTAAGAGAAGAGCCACACTTTCTTTGCAACTCTATCTTGTTTCTCTGAGCTCTGACACCACTGATGTACAAACATGTTATCTTGCCCTCAAATAATGTTTTAAAAACACTGTTCTAAAAGAACAGTGTCATGAGATATGTATGATAATAGATCTTAAGGGAATTTCAGGGCATTCGGGAGAGCAATATGCTAGTGAAGTGGGTGGGCATGGCTCCTATAATACCCTTGGAGAAAGAATGGTGTCATATCATTAGGAAATCTTTTCTGTCTTAGAGAAATGGATATATTGTTACAGATGCAATTCTGTAGAGGCAATTTCAGCTACTGTTTCTTTCTTCCACAATTCTTATGGTTTGTATCTCATATAGTGTAAAGTGAATGCATCTAGGACTAAATAACCTTTTTACATTTCAGATGCACCATCCTATCCAGATGAAACCAGCTGACAGTGAAAAGAGTAATGGTAAGCTTTATTAAAGTCTGAGCTTAGTGGCATCGTTTGTGTTAATGGGGAAGCTTGAGGATTTTCCTTTTGTTGATCAGCTTCTGATCAAGACTGCTTGAATAGTAGGGTAGTTTAAGTGATGTCTCTGAAATTCCATGACTCAGTATCTCCCACTGCTGGTGCTTGTGGTAGAACCATGTTGTCAGTTAGGGAAACATCCAGTGAGTTCTTTTTTGTACACAGGTGATTTAAATCTTTGTTGGGGACATGGAGAGCAGAATTGAGTGCACCCTCAGCAAGTTTGTGGATGACACCAAGCCGAGTGCTGTGGTTGATGCTCTAGAGGGAAGAGATGCCATCCAGAGGGACCTTGACAGGCCTGAGAGGTGGGCCTGTGCAAACCTTGTGAAGTTCAGCAAGGCCAAGTGCAAGGTCCTGCATTTGGCTCAGGGCAATCCCAAACACAGATACAAGCTGTGCAATGAGTGGATTGAGAGCAGCCCCAGGGAGGACTTGGGGGTATTGGTGGATGAAAAACTGAATATAAGCCAGCAATGTTTGCTTGCAGCCCAGAAAGCCAATCATATCCTGGGCTGCATCAAAAGAAGGGCTAACAGGTTGAGGGAGGTGATTCTCCCCCTCCTCACTTGTGAGACCCTACCTGAAGTACTGTGTTTAGCTCTGGGGCCTCCAGAAAAATAAACACATGGACCTGATTAAGCAGGTCCATAGGAAGGCAGTGAAGATGATTAGGGGCTGGAGGACTTCCCCTGTGAAGACAGGCCGAGAGACTTGAGATTCTTCAGCCTGGAGAAGAGAAGGCTCCAGTGAGAGCTTACAGTGGCCTTCCGGTACCTGAAGGGGGCCTACAGGAAAGATTGTGAGGGCTTCTTTATCAGAGATTGTAGTGATAGGACAAGGGGTCACAGTTTCAAACTGAAAAATGGCAGATTTAGAATAGATATTAGGGAGAAACTCTTCAGTATGAGGGTAGTGACACTGGACCAGGTTGCCCAGGGAAGCTGTGGATGCCCCCTCCCTAGATGTGTTCCAGGCCACATTGGGTGGAGCTTTGAGCAGCCTGGTCTAGATGATCTTTAAGATCCCTTCCAACTCAAGATATTCTCTGAAATCTGGAAAAGCTTATTTAAGTGCTTGATCAACTTGAATCAAGGTCCTTTGCAGCTAGGTAACAACTTACTGTGGTGTATAAGGGAGATTGAGACTTCCCAGCAGTTCAGTAGAGAAAAAACTTTTTATATGTCTGCATGTTGACCATTTCAGTTGGATTAAGACATTTAACATCTACCATTGGGAAAATGATCATTTATCCATGTATTTCCATGACTAGTATGTACACACATAGATACATGCTTAAATGTATGTGTATTTATATTGCTGCAAGGTAAGCAGATAAAGTGTTTAGCATTGTAGTTTCAGCCTTTCTAGGCTTGGCTGAATTTTATTCATTTGCTATAGTTACTGTAGGATTAGCTTTGCATCACAAAGAAGATCATCCTGGCTCTAGAAAGCTCACATCTTAAGATAATTGAAAACAGAAGATGCGATATACAGTTAACATATAGTACAAGTAATTCCATATGCAAGTTCCTCTGTGTGTATACAGAAAGTTTCTGAGTAAGTGTATCTAGAAAGGAGTAATTCTTTTTTTGAAGTATTGCTGGGAGGAGAACAAAATACGCTCTCCAAACTAAAACTGATCTTGCATTGTACACACACACACACACACAAATATCCCGGAAAAATAGTAGAAAGAGGAAAAAGGTATTTAATGGAATTTTAGGGTGGCAGTTCTGAGATTATTATGTGAGTTTTACTAAAAAGGTGTACTTGAAAATATAAATAAAAAATCATGAGCTAAAGTATTTTAATTTGCCATTCATAAAAGGGATCCTGGGTCTTTCATCCTAAAATGGACTGCAAGAAGAATTTGAAAGCAGCTTTCTGCTTTAAAAGCTTGAAAGTGAACTGCATTCAACATTAACATTTAATAGTCAAAGTCATGTCAGATGGAATAGTTTGGAAGTTTTCTCAACACCACAGAAGACTCAGCAAATAAGTTGATTTCCCCTCACCATGATGCTAAATAGAAGACTTTCTCTCTTGAAGCTTCAGATTGTGTTACAGCCTTCATCATATTATATTATGCTAAATATTGCATTTGCTAACTGGTTTGTATTTCTGAATGTTCTAAATTTCTAAATATTCTGCGTATTTTGTTTCAACCTTTAAAAGCAAGTATTTAAGTGGTGTTTAGCATCTTTAAATTAGTAAAATGAGGAATATTTGGCTCTGGAGATCAAATTGGTGTTATTGAACTCCAATGTATGTAGTAGCATCAGCATTTAGAGGCAAGATACAATAGCACACAGTCCAGTGCTCTGATTTGATGTGTTATTTTCATGCATTCAGTACAGATAAAAATGGATGAATCTGAAACAGAACTAAAAGTGTTCTTTTGCAGCAAGTGCTGTTACTTCTACTGTTGAGACCAGAGCATGAAAAAACTAAATTTAGGTGATTGATGTGACAGAGGCTAGAAAGAAGCTTTCTGCAGCTCAGTTGCATGTTTTGATACAGTTAGGTATGTTGAAAACAGACCAATAAAATACATAAAGGCCTTCTCTCACTCACTAGGAAATGAATGTAGGAGATACAGGGAAGTGCTGAATGTGATACTATTTTATTTCCTTTTCTTGCAAGCATGAGAATGTAAGAATGTAAGGAAGAAACAAGTCAGCAAAATGTTAACCTAAACCATCATATAACAGGCATCATTCAGGTTCATCGAGGTATCTCATATGCATCCTCTTTAATTGAAGAGATTCACTCCTACCCTAAATACAAGGAAAAAACTGCAGCTGATGGAGAAGACTTGACAAAATAAGATCTTGTAAGCACGTATTTGCTGGTAATACTCTTATCCTTTCATTTCTTAGCAGTAGAAGACAGGAAGTTGTTTATTGGAATGATATCCAAGAAGTGCAATGAAAATGATATCCGAGTGATGTTCTCCCCCTTTGGGCAGATTGAAGAATGCAGGATATTACGGGGCCCAGATGGCCTAAGCCGAGGTAAGCAGGAAGCTTTTCCTAAGTAGGAAGCTTTTCCGACAGTTCAGGGTTCTCTACTGGATGCTGCATTTTGCAACTCAAGGTGGCATTTCAGCTCTTTTTGTGATTCATGTGCACCCCCTTGCCCTTCCCTCTGCCCTCCTTCCCACCACACCACCCCCTCAGGCATTTTAATTTCTTTATTCATCTCAGTAACTGTGGATATAGTGACTAAATGAGCTTTTTGTTCTTTCCCCAGGTTGTGCATTTGTGACTTTTACAACAAGAGCCATGGCACAAACAGCAATCAAAGCAATGCACCAAGCACAAACCATGGAGGTAAAACAAGTTAGTGGGTGTCAGAAGATGTAATTTGTCAGGCAGTCACTATGGAGTTCAGAGGACTAGAGAGCAGAGCAAAGGATAGGTGCAGTTTATGTTCTTTGCAACTACTGCTCCTGGACCTTTGTGTTTGTTTGTCTGTTTTTAGAGCCCGAAATAGAATCTTCATCTCCAGAGAAATAGAATTAAAAGCGAATGAGATTTTGAATCTTTAATGAAATGTTCTGTTGGAATATATACATATGTATGTATGCATATGGGGGAGGGGAATGCTTCCAATGACTGAGTCTTAATGCTGTATTTTTGCGACTGCTGGGGCTAGCAAGTATGTAATTGTTTGAATTGCTGTTTGCAGGGTTGCTCTTCTCCCATTGTGGTAAAATTTGCAGACACGCAGAAGGACAAAGAGCAGAAACGAATTGCTCAGCAACTCCAGCAACAAATGCAACAGATCAGTGCTGCTTCAGTATGGGGAAACCTGGCTGGTCTCAACACACTTGGACCCCAATATTTAGCAGTGAGTTTCTGATCTGGATTCTTTCCAAGTCTTCAGGGATTACAGTGTCTGACTGTCTTGTAGTGTTTAATGTATTCATTTTTAGAAGGCTTCTGATATAGAAACAGGGTTCTTAATCCTCATTTTGCAGATGAGGAGGCTGAAATTAAGTTATGTGCTAAGAGCTAGTCAGGATACGTTTAAGTGAGGATTTCAACCCCAGTCACCAGCTACTGAATTTTTTTTTCTCGTGTCTTTTGTAGAGTGACTTTGTGCTAGAAGGATTTTCTTCATATATTATGGTCTTAATGTTTATCCACATAAATGCCCTTTTCACATGTCTGACATAATTCTTATATTCCTTTTTCAGCTTTTATTTATTTTACCCCTTACCAGTGAAACTTAGAACAGTACTTAGTGCTATCCAAATAGAAAAGGTCATCAGCTTGGAAGCACCAAGCAGCTGACAGTGCACAGTTTAAAAAATAGAACACAACACAAACAAAGTAAAAGAAACCCAAGAACATAGAAAATAGAAACTAGTCTCTTTAGCAAAAATTACATAGGAGAGCAGTCTGCGGTTTGTCACTGATTTTAGTTGACGTTGCTGGGTCCCTAAAGTGTGAACTTTTCATAGACTGATGTGCTCTGGCTCCTCTGTGTTGCCAGAGTAGCTAGGAGAACTGTATTCATGTCTGGAGAACAAAAAAGGAAATTTCATCTTGATATAGTGTACCATTGAAGTGGAGGCATTTTCTCTTTTTTTACTACTGCTTTAGGTTTGGTAGATTGAAATTTTTTATAACATAGGATCACAGAATAGTTTGAATTGGAAGTGACCTTTAAAGCTCATCTAGTACAACTCCCAGGTGGACAACACAAAGTCAAGGGAGAAAGGAATAGGAAATCCTTCTAAATAGCGTCTGAGCTAAGGCTTGAAATTTCCCTCATGCCTGCTGTGCTTAAGGAGGGTGGAGGGGGTTCCCTCTCCCAGTGGCTTTTTGGTGTTGGTGTGGCATTTGGCAGCGTCAGCTGTAAGGTCTGGCTCGAGGTAGTATATCCATAGTACTCCTTCCTAAGATGCTTTGAATTCTCCCTCACTACTGATTCTGCTGGTTTTGTCTTGGTGTATTAGCTATGAAATTCCCTCAACATCGGTTGTGTTGAGTGAGGAACGCATTGTGCTGCTGCTTTGGCTGCAATGTGGTGCATGGGCAACCTGGATTTTCACTGTGGTGGTGCTCTGGCTGTGTTGTGTAAGGGGAATTCCCTTGACGCTTTGCTAAGATGTGGTGCCTGGGCAGTGGGAATTCCCTGTGTGACGGCGCTCTGGCTGTGGTGTGATGCAGTTTCTCCCAGAAGCGGAGCCAGCCCTCACTCTCACTCTTGTTTTGTTTTTTGGTGTAATGTCTAGCTTTATTTGCAGCTCCTTCAGCAGACAGCAGCTGCGTCATCTGGGAACCTGAACACATTGAGCAGCCTCCACCCAATGGGAGGTGAGTTTTTTCTGTCAGAAGACAAGTTCAGTGCCAAAGAAAAGAGGATGAGGGTAGAGAAAGTAGCAAAATGTCTGTAGACACGTTAACCTCATTTGAAATAAGTAGTCCTGAGTTTACCCACTACTTTGGAATGACATGAGTCCTCTGCTACAAGTGTGGATGTTCCTTCTTAATCTTAGTTAACCATTGTCCCCAAGGTAAGTTGTGCTGTGCAGGTAATCTCCCCTACCTCTGGCATTTAAAATTTCATACCTGTTTCCTCATGGGTATGAAAAGATGGCTCTGTATATTTATTGTCACCCAAACAGGTGCATATTTGAAGCATTGTGTTTTGAAGTAAGCACTAATGCATGTGTTTCAGTGATAAGGGATTTTTAGGGTTCCTGTTTTAAAATCGAAGTTGAAAATGCCGTGTTGGTAGGAAATTGAACCAGTAACTTATTCAGGCTCTTTTATTCCTTTGTTTGAACTACAATTGATTATACCATTGCTGTTAGAGAAATGTCGGCTTAGTAGGTACGAGCCAAATTCCTTGCTGTGGACTGCTGCTACTCAGAATATTCACTAAATATAGCAGTACTGAAGCTGCATATGTGTTGTCCCATCTGTTTTACCAAGGTGGGGAATAAAAAACGTTGGTACCTCCATACGCTACATTTTCTAAATTCTTCTGCTGGCAGAAAACCTAAGGTTTTGATTTTCATATTGAACATTTTAAGCTTTCAAAATTGCCTCCTGGAGTTACATGATAGCTCACAAAATTGCATGTCCTGTCTGTGCAGAGGTTGATCTAAAAGTCTTTTAAGTGTCTTTGTACATCTGACTTGTGTTGGTGTACCCATCAATAACACTTAAAAGATCTTTTGCAAAGTGCTGTATTTTCAGCTGTAAGAATTTTAATTTGTACTTTAGGTTAATTCTAACCTTAGGTTCTTCTGTGTTCACTTTTTTCATGTTAGACTTCTTCAGAGCTCTAAGACTCTTGCCAAAAGCATTTTTTTAAAAAATCAGTTTCATTAGCATCCTGTATAGTGGTGATCTACAACAGATTTTGTTACGTTTGTGACTTCCCCCCCCCCTCCTTTTGTCTTTTTAAAAGCAAGTGGTAATAAAGGAGAAAAACACTATAGCAGTTCATTTTAATTGTTACCACAATAAGGACTGGGACAGGGAAAGGGGCTAACTAGCTGAGGTTGCTTTTGAAATTTCCAGGGTAATTTTGTCTTTGCTATTTAAAAAAACACCTTAAAAATTGAGACCACAGGCTCATAAATAGCGTGTTGCATGGAATTTTGAAAGAATTACTCCAAGTCTGTGATTCTTCATAGAGACAGCTTTACTTTCAAAGTCCTGTTAATATCTCAGATGATATCCTCTCTGGAAATTCATGGGGGAAAAAAAAGAGGTAATTAAATCTCAAACTATATCAGATTTTGTAGACAGAATTTTATCTTGACCCTATTTGAAAGCAGATGGAAAAACAATGTGATGACAAGAGGACAGGTGCAACACGCACATGCCAAACTGCTTCAGAAAGGAAGCAAGCTGCTCTCTTCTTCACTAACTCTAACGTTTAAATTTTAAACCCTTTGTAGCATAAGAAACAAAAAAAAAAACCAGCAACTTTTTGGTTTTAACTTCATGCTTCTTAGTTGCAATGACACCTTCAGAATCTAACTAAAGGCAGAATCATGTTGTTTCGGGCACTAAATGTGGTTAGGGAAACAGAAACAGACTGTCACAAAGGCAAAACAATTGAAAAGTTATTAAAAAACCCAAATGAACCATGCTAAAGATAAAAGTTTTTTAGAAAATAAGTAGTTTATTCTTCATTGTCACTCACATCTTATGTTGTCTTATGTTTACATATTTAAATTGCAGAACTTAATATTTTCTTAATTTGATATTTGTGCTTTGTCACCAAGTACTTAGTTAGCATCCAAAAGATGAGGCACCACATCTGCCTAAGATGTTTTGATGTTTTTGTATGAATAGTGACTAATTTAAGTTTTGTTTTAATTTTGTAGGGTAGAATTACTAGGGTCTGATGAAAAGAGGAGGAATTGTTAGAATAAGCAAAGGTAGAGAGAAAAAGGGGGAGTAAGGAAAAAACAGAGAGGCATAATTGGAAGAATGTTGCTAGCCTAGAAAAGGATGGCTAAAATACAGAATTCAGAAGATCAATATTAATGATAATCCCATGGCAGGAAAATAGCGCAAATTACTGTCAGTACTGACTGCTTTCATCTTAAAAAGGATTACTTAAACTTAAGGTGAGTCATATGAGTAAATTGACCAGTAAAGTTCATCGACACAGGGATACCTTTCTTCCCTGCAGTATTCCTGACTGCTTACCCACACCAGCGCTCGTAGTTCCCATTTTCTGTACCACTTTTGTTTGACCACCTGACTAGCCCGTGTGTATCTTAGCTGTTCTTGTCGTCAGGAGTTGCCACTTAACATTGACTAACAATTGACTGTTGCTTCTTGGCCACCAAGGAGACCAAAGAAAACATGCTGATGCTCAGCTGATGGTGGGTTAAAGGTGTGGTTTTGTGGCCACAGTTGTGCAGGCCTTCTTGAAAGAATTCTGCAGCTATTGCTGTTGCCACAAAAAGAGAGTGGAGGGACACGAGAGGAGGTTATTGGCTTGGTAACTAGACAAGTTCTATAGCTTACAGATGAGTTGTCAGTCTTTCTAGCTTAACTCTCAGTTAAATCTGCTATGTATTTGTGACTGGAGAGAACACTGCTTGAAAAATTCTGTGGTTTGGGATCATGACCACCTGGTCTTCTAAGTAAATTCATCTATATCTGGGCAAAAGACCTCTCGTTTTTTATTTATAATAAGGAATTGGAATGCAGAAGAGCTCAGTAATGATACTAAGCCTGTTTTTAAACACCTTCTCATTACTCCCTTTTGATGTGCTGAGGTTGCTGGATCTGTTAAGTTTGGATGATGGTGACTGTTATAGGAGAAACTGTGTATTCTTCACTGTGTTGCAGGACTGAACGCGATGCAATTACAGAACCTGGCTGCGTTAGCAGCTGCAGCCAGCGCAGCTCAAAATACACCGAGTGGTACCGCTGCTCTCACTTCTTCCAGCAGTCCCCTGAGTGTGCTCACCAGCTCAGGTAAGAGACTGCCTCTGCTGTTGTGTGTTGTAACATGGCTTGTCTTAGGAGTCATTTCAGGATGAAAATCCACATGTTGTGTCTGTCCCTTTTTGGCACATTCATGTTGATTCTTTTATAGGTAAGCAGTTTTACTCGTACGTTCACTGGCCTTTGTTTAGGGTAGGTAGGTATGTATCTTTGCTACCAGCAAAGTTTTTTTCCCTGCTGTGTTCCTTCCTCCAAATGGTCAGATATATTTAGAGTAAAAAGACTTTTTGAGGTCATCATGAAGGAGAAAGGTAGGTGACCTCTTTCCAGTCATATTACTACAATCTCATCACATACTCAGTTTATCTGTGATTTTAGGAAGGTGTCATGGCAAATGTACCCTGTTCCCCTGGACATGGAGATAGAAGATAGCTTAAGCATGAAGTAATACATTCTGTGCACTAGAAGATGTTGATGTTCTTCTGGCATTAATGAAGACAAGGATGCTATAGCTAGCTCATAGAAGAAGAGTAAACAGACCTCTAGCACATTCATTTGAATGTTGTCTAGAATTGAGTGTATAAGTTGCACATAAAAATCTTGCTCTTGTTGGGATTAATTTTTTTTTGTTTGGTTGGGGGTTTTTGAGGGTTTTCTTGTTTGTTTTTTTGGGTTTGTTTTGTTTTTATTTTACTTCAGGTTACGCACATTATTGAGAAAGGACAGAATGTCCAAGTAATTTTTGCTGCCTTAGTGTTAAATGTGATCATTAAATGCAACAAACAAGAAAACAAAAAAGAAATTGTGCTTACATCAGCCATGCTCAGTTTTTTCCACAAATGAGCATCAGTGTCCTGCTCATTTTTTTCTATCAGATTTTCAGTAATTTCTAAATCCTGACATGGAAAGGGATACCCAGTATTTTCAGGGTATCAGTTTCCCAGAAGCTACAGCATGTTACATGGGTTTGGTTTTGTGGGGTTTTTTTGTTTTTCATAAAAAGCCAAATTGGTTGTCCAGTTTTGAAATCCAGCCTACAGAATTAACATCCTGACCTGTGACTGTGAGACACTGAAACAGGTTGGGGGTGTTCTAAATTTCCACAGGTAGATTTTTGTATTGCGTAAGGAGCTGGAAAGACACTATAAGGAGATTAGAAGGAAAAGCTCTTCAGAAAACCTTATGTCACAATCAGAAGTTAAGCCATGGGTGCCTGCAGTTTTCTGCTTAGAGAAATTCCCAATAAATCAGTTCTAAAAGTGTTCTGTTGCTGAACAGGGCTATTTTTTACATAAAAACTTTGTGGTCTGCGATCCATAAAGATTACAATTTCAGAATTCATCTTGACTCCCAGCTATGGTATCTTAATCTATAATTTAAAAGAAATAACAAAGAGTTGAGGCTACAGAAGAGCTACATTTGTAACCCACTACTGCTGCTTCATTGCAGAGAAGGTGAATATATCTGAGAGTTCCTGGCATATTTCTTCATGCAGTAGCAGAGCTGAAATTCTCAGGTTAAAATTTGCTGTGGCAAAGATTTCCTTGTTGTTGCTCTCATCTACTGACTGGAACAAGTTTGTTCTCTGATTTGTTGAGGTATGGAAAGGGACTGGCAGGTTGTGAAGTTCAAATGCCAGACATGCTAGAAGAGGCAGAGACAGCCTCTTCTCAGAAGTGTACAGTGAAAGGACAAGGGCAACAGACGTAAGTTGCAACAGAGAAAACTAACTGCATGTAAGAGAAACATAAAACTGATGGTAAGAGTGATTAAGCTTAGGAGCAAGGTGCCAGAGGGGCTATGGAATCTCAGGTTGAGATTCACAATGCAATTGGAAAGGACCCTGAACAGGCTGACTTTAATCAGAGGTTAGACCAGCTCTGAGCAGACCATCAGACTAGATGATCCACAAAGGTGTCTTTCAACTGAGCTTACACTAATGTTGTGTGATTCTTTGGGATAGGTTTCCCCTCCCTGAATTTTGGCTGTATGTAGTCACATAGAAGGCTACTGGACTCTGCTTATTCAGAGCATCCTTCTGAAACCATATATAGACCTTGAGTGTAGAGCTTGTCAGTACCATGGGTTAGTAGATGCCTTCCTTGTCTGTGGCACATATGGCAACATCTACTGTGGTAACCTCTTAAACCTAATTGCAGATGAGGTCACTACTGGCATTAACTTCTATCCATCTGTCATCCAGATGTTCACCTGATGCTTATTTGGACATCTCTCCCAGATTGTTCTCAAGCTGCATAATAGGTGGGAAAATCCAGACAATCATTATTGATTTCTTTATTATCTTTCATCTGCACAGGATATTTTTTGTGTTTGGGGAACTTGGAAGTCCACACTGTGGAGAGTCTCTGGACTAGGCATAGGTTTCATGTCAAAAAAGTTGAACAGAGAGGTGTGAGGTATTATTGTTGTCCTGTCTGTGCTGTCTTCCTGCTCATTTCAGGTGATTCTGTTTCGAACTTTCCAAGCAGTATTGTGTATTTTCATGTAGAAAAAGGTGGAGCAAAATCTTCAACCTTGCAATAAGGCACCTACGCTTTAGAAATACAGACTGCTGCTGCATCCACATATAGGTTATCTATGTTACAGAGACTGTGACCTTAGATAAACTCGTTTAAACTGCTAACTTGTGAAGGGAACATTCAATAAAATGTTAAAGAAGTATTTCCGGATTGGAGTCTTGTCTGCCATCTTTTGTACTCGGACATCAATAAGAATCGTCTGCTTCAGAGCAAAACAGAATGGTGGCAAAACCTGGTATATGTTACTATTTCTCCTCCTTTCAAAGGCAACAATTAAAGGTCCAGCAAAGACTGTATGGCTTTGCTGGCCTTAGTGTGTCTCCAGCAAACTTGTTTTCAGAGGCATCATAGTCTTTCTGCTTTTACTGGAACTAATTCTGATACAGTTCAATCAGACTCATTGCCTCAATTTTAGTGTTTTTTAGCTCATTGCTTGGATGAAATAAAACAGACTTACTGTTTCCTCAGTTTACCTATCTCCTCAAGTTGGTAGTTGATGTCCTTGTCCAAGTGTCATTATCATTCCTGGATATTATTAAAATTTTCTCAAAAACTTTTCAAGTATTTTCAGCTAGTTCTTTTAAGAATAAGCCTGAGAAATAGAGGACTGACATAGGAGAAGGGAACAATTGAAGCCTACAAATATACTAGTGCTGGGATGAAGAAGAACAGGGAAACACCAGTCATTAGATATTTCAAGACAAGAATGACAGGTGAAGTTGTCAGGTAACAGTTAAAAAATAACTTGTGATTAGCTTTTTGTCTTAATTAAGCTTTGTGGCTTAATTTATTTAAAATCATAAGGTTTTTAAAGTAGGGAAGGCATCCATTCTCTCTTTCACTTTGTTCTCTAGCCTTGGATTAATTTTTTTTTTCCCCCCATATTACTACTATTTTATTGCAGGTGTTTTTTTTTTAAGAAAAAATATGTTCTCATCCATCAATTGTAGTGTCTTTGAATTCTGTAGATTAGCAATGAAGTGTTGCAGAAACAAGTGATACTGTAGAACTGAGGTAGCTGTATAATTTCTGATCACTGTCTTTTATTCAGCCAGCTGTGCTATTTTTTCTACCAACTTGAGTGTTATACTGTAATTTGTTCTCTGCGTTTTTCCAATATTTAATATGCTACTTGGAGTAAGACTGAAAATGTCCCCTTGTCTTCAGAGTAAGCATCTTAAAATATAGTTTAGAATATTGTCTTTCAGTTTCTGGCTTGTTAAGAGAGTTTGTCTAGAACTTTTCCTAGAGGAGGTCTGTAATTTCCTGTGTCAGTCCAAAAACTAAACAGTGATACAAAGTGCAGCTCTCTGGGTTCTCATATAGCTTTTGTTAGGTACAGCTTTTGCTGGAGCTAGACAGGCAAGTTTACTGTTTTCCATTTAAATAGTTATCATATTCCACTCCAGCAGAGACTTTGTGCCACATCTATGAAGCGGTGAATATATGTAGTGTGTGAATCTGTTTGAAAGATGCTAACAATTCTTGTCAAGGTTTTAGTGAATGTGCACACCATAACTGAGAAGCACAAGAACACGGAAGAAACTGAAATGCCTGAATTTGAGTTATTCTGTTACACACTTGATCAGGCAGATAAATTCCTCTTGAAAGCAGACTACAAGATCAAAGAATCATAGAATGGTTAAGGCTGGAAGGGACCTTAAGGATCATCAGATTTCTCTCAATTTGTAGAAGCCATAAGTATTTTCCAGTGCATCTTGTGCAGTAAATTTAAACTTGTGGATTAATAGCAATATGCATAGCTATTCTTCTTTGCTTTCTTCAGATTTCTTAGTCCACAAACCTGTCAGCAAAACTACTGCTATATAAACAATAAAAATACTGTTATTTTCTGATTTTTATTATGTCTATGATCTTTGTAGATTACTTAAATTTGAACTTCTGTTTCTTTTGGTATACCAGCTTGGCAAACTTCTTTCTAGTGGTTTTGAAGTCTATTTCCATAGAACTAACTCCACCTGTTGTAGAATTTGACAGGCCGTGTAAGCTGTTTTTCTGCTGGGTACTCAATCTCTTCTAAGTAAATGTGATTGGAGATGTCAGTGGCACAGTCAACAGAAGACAGGCCATGTATTTTGGATGTACATACCAAAACTTTTCTTAGCCCTAGTCCCAACAGCTGCAGTGGGATTTTTAATGGAAAAATATTTCATGTGTCAGAATAATCTGGGCATCTCCTTTTGCTCTTCTGGCAGTGTGGGAAAACCATATGTTCAGTTTGACTGGAGCTTTCTTTCATGTACCTAGTATCTGTGTTTCAGGTCTTTTTCACCTTGTGTGATGTTTCAAGGATAAGTGTTAATATGTAGCAATTCTTATGTCAGTTAGCATGAAAAGGGGCATTGCTGCTGGTCACCTTACATTGAGGTACAAAGTTTAGCTAACATCTGTATATTGTCTGAATCTTAGGTGTCTTACAAGTAATAAAATTATTATTGGTACAAAGAGGAGATGTTGTAATGAACTAGACATTTTTAAAAATGTAGGAAGGGATAAAAAGATACAAGCAGTATGATCAATCAAGTTTTGTGGGTTTGGGATATTTATATTTTTATATAGTGTGCTGTTTTGCCTTGATCTGTTCCTTACTAGCTTTTCCTACAGCAATAACTCAATGAAAAACTGGAATTATCAGGACCAAAAAATACTGCTTGAAATCTAACTATCTTATTTTAATAGCAGGTTCCTCACCTAGTTCCAGTAGCAGCTCTTCTGTTAATCCTATGGCTTCTCTTGGAGCATTGCAGACGCTGGCAGGGGCTACAGCAGGCCTCAACGTTAGCTCTTTAGCAGGTAAGCTATGGATTCTGGTGGGCTGGGGGAATACCTAATTATCATTCCTCAGGCTGTGCTAGTTCTGTGGGGGTTTTTCTGCCCCCTGCCTTTTTGTGATAGTGCAGAGTATTTGAAAGGTAATTGCTCTGGCTCAGTAGAAGAATCTGTATTTCGATCATCTTTATTTCCTCTTTCTTGTGCAGGAATGGCAGCCTTAAATGGAGGACTTGGCAGTGGTGGTCTCTCAAATGGGACAGGTAGCACAATGGAAGCCCTCACGCAGGCTTACTCTGGAATTCAGCAATATGCTGCTGCTGCATTGCCCACACTCTATAACCAGAGTCTGTTAACTCAGCAGAGTATTGGTGCAGCAGGAAGTCAAAAAGAAGGTAGGCAGAAAGTTGTAGAAACAACTTAAGAGGGGTTCTCAAAAGGGCAAGTTCAGCTACCTTATCTGCAGAGCTTTTCTTTGGCAGCATTTTTTGAGAACTTGTGAGGTGTCTGTTGATGGCTGTCCCAAGTGGTTTTTGTAGAGGAGGTTTATTTCAGAATGTGTCTAGTCTTAAATGCTTAGTAGTAATGCTTCACCATTTTCTCAGAGGACAGGAGAATATGAGTCTGTAGCCTGATACATCTCACTGACAGAGAATCAGTTATAGTTTTGTTAATTTTGTTTTCTTGGTCCTTCACCTCTTCCCACAGACACTTAATGCCAATTTCTTCCCTCTTCAGATTCAGAATCAACTTAATGTTTAATGTAAAGTAATGAAGAATGTAGGAGTAAGTTTTAAACGGAGAGTAGGATGATACTTGAAAAAGAATCTGTCAGAATAAAAGTAATGCTACTACTTGTATTTTGTATCAAGATTTACTTAGTTTCTTTTGGCCACAGGCTTTGCATAGCTATTTTTGGTTTAGTTAGCATCCAAGGCTCAAACTTAGTGTTCAGCTTTCATCACAGCAAAGATCTGTGAAACAGTTTTTGCATAATGTGGAAATTACATGCAAAAATGGTGACAAAGAGCTAGAATTATTTCAGTGATCAATCCCAGCAAAGGTCATGCTTGATGTATTCTGGAATCAAGTGTTCCACAGAAGTGCAAACAGCAGCTTAGTTGTTTTATCTAGAAAACGTGGCTTGAATGGCTCTTTCACGTTTTTTTGTGAAGTGGGCTTATGTTACCCGTTTTCTTTCTGAATTTGTATTTTTACTTGTTGTTTGAAGGTCCAGAGGGAGCCAATCTGTTTATCTACCATCTCCCCCAGGAGTTTGGGGATCAGGATCTGCTGCAGATGTTCATGCCATTTGGAAATGTTGTCTCCGCCAAGGTTTTCATTGACAAGCAGACCAATCTAAGCAAGTGTTTTGGTACGTAGGGTCTACTCATTGCCTCTAGAAAGATGGCTTCTTTCTAGTAATCTCTTTTCCTACATACTGTCTAGTCTAGTTTTTAAGTCAACTAGTGGCTCTTTCTCTGTATCCATAAATAAATCAATCTGAACTCTTCCAGCAATGAACTGTATTTCTCTAATTTTCATTGTGACTTTTTGCTTTTCCTGATTTCATACTATTATGCCTCATTATAATGTTATGGCACTAGATAATTCACTGTGATTTGTCTTTGCAGACTATAATCATGGTATAGTTCCTTATTTTCCCCCTGTTTTTTCACTAATTGCTTACATTGCTGTATATATTACTTCATTATCATTATGAATTATTTCTATTAATATTTTATTTGTAATTATTGTGGCTACCATATAATACAGGAACACTTTGTTCTGTAAATGCTTTAGAGGCAATTTTTAATTTTTCCTCCTAATTATGGAAAACTTTAATAGTTAAACCAATTCAGCTGTTACTTCCTACCTAACTTTGGTTGCATCTCTTATTCCAATTTTTCTCTGCTTATTGTATATTTAGAGGCACATCAGGGTGGGAAATACATCCTAAAACTGTGAATCAACCTGTCGTGCTGCTGTTAATATCCAAATAGATTCTTTTTGTGTTAATTGCTGAAGTCTGTGTTGCCAGAAGAGCAAATAACATGTTCTTCCTTAGCTTGTATAGTAGGAGGCTGCACACGTGGATTGAAAGATTAATGCTTTTATTTTCCTCACTTTGAGACCCAAGTGCAAGACATAGTAGCATTTTAGTAATCCTGTAAGTTCTCGTAACTATTTTGATAGATGGGGATTTCTTGTGATAGTGTCAGAGAGGTGAGCCTTTCTCTATGGTTTAAATAGCTTTGTGCCTACATAATATCCTATGTTTTTTGTAGTATTTGAGACAAAAGATGTGGGCAAACTGATGCTTTGTGAGTACATGAAAATCTGCTGAGTATCAGGCTGTAACACCTACTTATGCAACGATGTCCCCAGGTAGTGATGCCAGCCATTGACTGGAGCTATTTAAAATGGGTTCCTTCAAAACCC